CGTATTAAGAAGTCCACAAAACGAGAGACAGTCGCAGTAAAACTGATCTCGAGTCGGTTTTCGGCGAAAATACCAGATTTTCACCGCTCATTATCTCAGCGTAGAGGCATCGTAGGGACATGCGGTTTGTTTTATATTAACAAGAGTAGATAATAACTATAATTAAGTGTTATTATCTACTCTTGATATTGACAAGGTAGGACAGCTGATCAATAATACTGCAAAGAATCGTCAAAATAAAACGGGGAAAGTTTATTAATTAATTCGACTAATACTGCAACATGGTTTCAGCATTTCACCGTTGTACGCTCTCCTTCTTTATACGTTCTTGATGTGATACATTAGTTGGAGCGCGTAGCAGTGCGTTAGTCTAGAACAGCCTCTGAAGAATAGAAAGCATTATTGTAGTTACTCGTTGAAAAAATGTTCGGGTCGTTTAACATTTTCTGGTTGTCCGTAGCTTACCTGTCCGTAGGTATGCGGTGATAGCAGGTGTCAATATATAGATCTATATTATGACGTCATATTATCAGGAGTGTATAATATAGAGACCTCTATATTATACACTATCGATATATTATGACTATATTCTGATATTAGATCTATTATTTATATAATATATACTCTGACACTCCTTGTGATATAGGGTATGTCTCGTTTTGTCAGCGATTAAGGCCGCCGCACACCAGCCGATTTTACAAACGATGAAGCGATGAAGCGATGTAGGTGTGCGGCGGCCTTAAAATCGGCTCATCGGTTCAAAATCAAACATGTTTGATTTGGAACGATCACCCGATATAAATAAAATCGTCTACAAATGAACGCGCACACCTTACATCGCTTCATCGCTTCATCGCTTCATCGTTTGTAAAAATCGGCTGGTGTGCGGCGGCCTTTATCTGAGAGATTGTAGACGAAATATTTGAAGTGTGCGTGATGCGTATTAGGTCTTTGAAAATTGAAATGTGGAAAAAAGGGGACAGAGCATAGCGGTTCGTCTGCGCGTGAAATAAGTGTCGTTACGAGAACACAATGAGTTAGTTCGCTAAGATATGACGCGGCAAAATGTCGGTCGCGCTTGCGTAGGCGCGTGCAATATGTGGCCAAGCGTACAAATATACCGTTACCTCCTTCTAGGAACGCACCGCGATTTTATTATGAGAGTTGGGTGTGCCCTAAGAATGCTAACCAAATGCCAACCGCGTACGTGGTCATGCAGATCTGGTGGTTGCACAGGGGGCCGAATAAATGTTTCGTATGATAAATGGGGGAACTGCAGAGGTAAATGGAAAGACAAACACGGTGTTGTCACGGGGCAAGGCTCGGGGAGAAACGGTTTAAGGGAGGTTCTAAAAATCTATAAGATCAAGATTGTATCGCTCTTGATAAGATCTTTCATAATAAGAGTATGAGATTCATATATAATATAAGTTCAACCATAAGATCGACGATCAACGCTTTCCTTAGCGTCTATCACGCAACACAGAGGGAGACATGGTAAAAAGGACTAGATGAAAAGAGGATCCACTGTGTCTGGGGCACAGGTAGAGGGGGGAAGGATAAGAAAGGAAGCAAGAGAAGGAAGGAAGCAAGAGGAGGATAGGAGGAGAAGAATAAGAAGGAAAAGGAGGAGGGGGGGGGGTAGAGTGAAATTATGTCTGGAGTTTTGCTATATATCGAGGTCTGTGACTTGCCCACGGCTTTGCAATTCCGTGTGTATGACCGAATCAGGGGACGGGGCAGCAGTAGCGTGACTAATGTCTGTATTCGTCCATGCAGTAGTGTCTGTACCCATCCATGCTATTGCAGTAGTGTCTGTATCCATCCATGCTATTGCAGTAGTGTCTGTACCCATCCATGCTATTGCAGTAGTGTCTGTACCCATCCATGCTATTGCAGTAGTGTCTGTACCCAGTCCATGCTATTTACAGTGAGGCTGTATCAACCCATGCTATTACAGTAGTGCTCTGTACCATCCATGCTTTATCTGCGAGTGTTGTCTGTACCCAAGTCCATTGCATATTGCAGTAGGTGTCTGTACCCATCGCATGATAATTGCCGAGTAGTGATCTGGCCACCCCATGCCATGCTATTGCAGTGAGTTGGTCTGTATACATCCATGCTATGTCCAATTAGTGTCTGTTATTCATACATGCTATTGCCCCTAGTAGTGCTCGTGTACCCATCCATGGCTATTGCAATAGTGTCTGTACCCATCCATGCATTGAAGTGCAGAGAGTGCACACGCCCTTGTCTGGACTAGGTTACTGCAAACACGTCTGTAGTGACTCCTGTCGGTGATTGATGTGTACCGAAAGTCCGCAGTCCGCGTGCTTTCATGTTCGGACTGATTTTCCATACGGACGTATATATGACACTTTTAGAAAATGTGTTTTAACAACATCATATTTATAAGGGGGGTTGAGACCACCCAGAGTTTACTCTGAGGGTTCCCTAGGCCGTCTTTTTCAGCCTAATTTAGCCCGTGTATTAATTTACGCCTACTATAAACTAGCCTTTGCATGGAGTCTTCAATCACCATTAGAGGTATTTAAAAAAATGTTTTAAATACTAACGATTCAGTTTGATGTGCAACGACGGTCTGGCCGCCACTCAAGCGCACGCATCTGATAAGCTTGCGCACAGAATACCACTTTCCAGGCCCAAGCTAGCTACAGATCGAGGGTGTTTCTTATTCTATTCGATCTAAAGCAAAAGGATTGTAATTCTGTATAAACGACATATAGTGTTCACGTTATAATATGGATAAATTTTGCCCTAGAATGCAATATCTCTTCGGTTAAATAGCATTTAGGTTATAAATATAATCTGCACTTTTGTGATTAGGCCCTCGGTTGTAAGCGCCTGGCAAAATAAGTTGTCAAATTACGCAACTTTTTCGCGCGTGGCCGGCAGCGGTCGCGGGGTGGGTCATGGCGCTGCTTCAAATTTCGTAGCGTTGCATGTGCTAATTAATTATTAACATTAAATTGGTATCTGGTCAACAAACTACGCGTGTGTGTGTATTTAACGTATTTGTTATACAGTATAAGCTTACCAGTTGTATGCAGTAAAATCTTAGAGCGCCTTTTACTGTTCCCTTTAAAACTGTTACATGTCAATAGAAGTGAGGACACTTACTGCGTATAAACAGCCATAACTATACACCATAAGTGATGTCCGATCATCTGATGTAATATCTCGATCATCGGTTGAACATGTGGCTCGAACGCAAGTGCGCTTGGTTATCAAAATCCATAATCGATTTCATAAAAAAAAAACAATTGTTTTTTTTTTTTAAATTTTGAACAAGAAAACTTAAAAAGGTCATTGTATCAAAAAAATTGAATAGGCATGATAGTCAAACAAAAGCGTTGATGATATAACGTTGATAACACTTGATTGATAAACTGATATAAAAACTTTGATGAAAACTTCGATGATAACTTGGAAAGTGGTGAGATGTAGAGATCTAGTACATTTATTATAGAACAGTTAGTAACAGATAAAAAATCAAAACAAAAATAAATGAACAAAATACATCCTTGCAAAACAACAGGTAAACATGGGGCTAACAAGCAGCATACATGGACACACGTACATGCCACGACGTTTACGCACACGCAGGCATTCAAACACCCCGAGTAACCGATTGTAACCGGCTATCGATCGCGTTATTGGGTCCACGGATGTTCGGGTTCAGCGAAATTACAAATAACCGATTGACAACACTAAGCTATAAATGTCTCTGACAGAAACGAGTCGAAGTTATAGCATGCTAAACATTAAGTAGACAGCAAATATGTCTACCTAACAAATTTGTCTACATAACGGCTAGTTTTTTTTACACCCGATGTCTACATATGATGGGATTAAGATATATATATATATATAGCTTTATCTTATCAGAGAGTCTTTGTTGGCGATTTACTATATCAATATGCTTTCGGGGAATCGATTCGAAAGAGGGGAACTGAAAACTATTTATACATACTGTGAACTCTTGACTCTTTTCAATGCGACGATCTTTAGACAAATATACTATATACAAATATATTGAAAGCATATTGATATAGTAAATCGCCAACAAAGACTCTCTGATAACATAAAGCGGTATAAATTCAACAAGCAAACGCCCAAGCAAAAGTGCAAGTTGCCGATTTCGAGGTATATAAAGACAGACACAGCAAGCAGACTAAAGCAGCTAGTGTGTGGTTCAACCACCGGTGGTACAAGTGAGCCGGCCCCCTCCCCACAGATCGTACCGCCCCACCAATTACACCTGCTATTATTTTCAAAATTACCTTCTATTAAAGAATTTGAGCACTGAAGAGAAAGACATACTCACTAATAAAGGCACGGTCGCTGGTTCGCCGGCCCGCACCTAGCTGCAACCCCCGGCTCATACTGAACTATTATCTAATTGTTACTACCTACTGTACATAACTGCTGTAACAGTGTATATATATGTCCCAATCCCGTGTCTACTTCTTTCAGGGAGACTATCTGGCTGGAGCCATATATATATATCAGGGGATCAGGGGTTAATAATGACAAATTTGTCATTATTTGTCATTATATGTCATTATTAACCCCTGATATATATATATATATATATCCCTCCCTCCGCCTGCAGGGAGACTTTATCTGACTGGAGTCGTGTATACAATTGTTGCTATATATATTATATATATATATATATATATTATATATATAATATATATATATATCATATCGTCCCCTCCCTCCCCTCCGCTTTGCAGGGAGACTTTATCTGGCNGCCGTGTATATAATATCTTCCTCTCTCCATCCCACAGGGAGACTCCACGCCCTGGATCGATGACGGATGCATTGCCTTGATGCGTCGCTCGGCGCTCAGCCAGTACTCTTCCGCATCGTCGTCGCGCACGAGGATGCGTCCGGCATCTGCCGTCTGCACCTGCGCGCCGACGGCGACCGAGAACTCCCGCCGTTGCACCGGCTCCAACCAGATAAAGGACATGATCAGTCTGGGAGATCTGCACGAGGCGGGCATCATGCGAAACCTGCTCATACGCTACAAGGAGCACCTCATCTACGTGAGTGAGGGAGAGGGGGAGGGAGGGAGGGAGAGGGAGGGAGGGAGGGGGAGGCAGAGCGGAGGAGGAAGGGAGGAGGGGGAGCGAATGATTAGTCTGGGAGATCTGCACGAGGCAGGGCATCATGCGAAACCTGCTCATACGGTACAAGGCGAGCACTCATCTACCGTGGAGTGAGGGAGAGGGGGAGGGAGGAAGAGAGGGAGGGAGGAAGGGAGGGAGGGAGGGAGGGTGAGGGAGGGGGAGAGAGTGAGGGAGAGGGGGAGGAGGGGGAGGGAGGGAGGGAAAAAGAGGAAGGAGTAGGAGGAAGCCTAGGGAACCTACACGAGGTGGGCATCATGCACAACGAGAAGGAAGGGTTGTGCTCTAGTGCGAAACCTACGATGGCAATATCTTTCAGCAAAATACATTGCTGTATGTTTTACTACTGCTGCACATCGTACCAGCAGATTGCGATGCTCTGTATATAACGCGATCACGTCTGCTATTCTGTAACCCTCGAATTTATCGGAGCCTGTACGCTTGTTTGCCCTCATCACTCGTGAATTCCTACAGCAAGTTATATATCGCGTATAAGTCTAGTCGAATATTCACAACCACGTTCATTCGTATTTTAAAGTGTAAAATCGTTTAAAAAAATTTACGTTTAAAGTTTTAAAATTTAATCAAGTTGCGAGCCACATGAGATCTCACGAGATCACGCGGACTCCATCTGCCTCTGTAACCTCTCCACGAACGCAAATGTAAGATCCACAGATTCGAACAGATGCAAATTGTCCAACTTGCGTCGACTAACTTCGACAATCGAGATGTAGACTGTCACCGCTCGCTCGTCGCACGTTTTCAGACGTACACCGGCTCCATCCTGGTGGCGGTGAATCCCTATCAGATCCTGCCCATCTACACTGCTGAGCAGATTCAGCTGTACAGATCGCGTAAGATCGGAGAACTGCCACCGCACATCTTCGCGATCTCGGACAACGCCTACGCGAACATGAAACGCTACGGAGACCAGTGCGTCATCATCAGGTACGAGTGAGGAGTGGGTGGTGGTGGTGGTGGTTAAGCGGGCGGGGGGAGGGAGG